TGGTTCTGCTCCAGAGCACCTCTGCCTTCATTCATTAAACTTCTTTGTTCTACAGCCTGTGGTATTCCTTTTGAAGGTTGGAAGAAGGATTCAGATGCTGAGTACCACAGGAAGTCATATGGCACCCACAAGGCTGTATTTCTGCCTAGTCTGCCTCTGTCTTCCAACCATATGAAAGTATTCTTACTCCAGTGGCTTTACATCAGGTCATTAACTTTGGTTTATTGCTTGTGAAGACAGTTCTGTTTCCTTCTGGATTTTTGTGAACAGGAACAATTTGCTGAAAATGCTGGGGAAGGAGAGCAATTGTCTTCTGATGCCAGTCCAGATTTATGTGTTTGGCTTGTCTAGGACCTGGAATTATTCTGTTTCCCCCTTGAGACCTCCTGCACCTCACGCTCAATGAGGTGAGCTTATCAGATTTTTTTTTTTCTCTCTTAGGAAAACATATCAAAGTCCTGCACAAAAGAATGCCAACAAACCTGCTAAAAACAACAGGCAAGTGATAGTGAGTGCACTATTCTGTCTCTGTTTGAACTGGCTAAAAGACTGCTTGCTTAATGCCCACCACAACACACATGGAAATTCACAGAGGGAGGGAACAAGCTGGTCCAGAGCCTCTTCCCAGCCCTGCTCCTCTAGCCAGGACAGAATCAACAAGGCATGATTTTTAACTGCACATTAATTATAAACTTGACAGTTCTCTCTTTCATTTTCACTGCATTTTCAGCTTACCTAAGTTGCCAGAGGCAGCTCACATGTCTGCTCACAGGAGTGCTGTGAATGAATGGTTCAAGGTTTTCATGGCCTCTGTGAGCTGACAGAGGCTCATCCCTTCCTCTGGTGTTTGGCAGTCAGAGCAAAGAGACAGATTGGACACGCCTGCATCTGTAGCATCCAGACTCTCCAGAGTTCTGTTCATTGCTCTGCACTCAAGGGTAAATCCAGTGAATATTTGAGCATCCAGAAGCAAGTCTGGCACTGGAGAGCAGGGGTGGCTGAGAGGGCCCCAGTTTCAGTTTTTGCATGTGGATAATTCTGGTCAAATTAACCTGGGTCTGGTGCCCCGGGGCAGCCCAGTCACCACAATGGACTCTTTGGGGTATGATTGCCCTTTGTGTCACCCTGCCATGGTATTGCTTCTCTTCACTACACCAGTACCATGGGACTGGAGTGCAGAGGTGCAGGTGAGCAGCACAGAGAGCAATGCAGAGAGCCTCAGCCTTTCTTATCCTGCAGGATGAAACCTATTCAGTCAGGGTGCTGGATTTGTCTCTTCAAGCACAGAGACAAACACACTTTCCTACTCCTCTCCCCACTTACCCAGCCCTGCCCCCAAATCCCTTGGTTGTACCATCTATATCCACATCTCACACAAGTCTTTTATTCCCTGAGTGGCTCCTCTTGCCTTCTCCCGTTTCCATTGAGAAAATGCTTCATTAAAGAATTTTTCTCAAAAGGAGAAGTGTTTGGCTAGAAGACAAGTGTGTGTGTTTATTTTTCCAGTAGTAGGATCCCTGCAACCAGTCAGAGCTGATCTGATACAGGAAGGCTCCAACTCAGACTTCCTTATTCCACCTTGGAAAAAGTGCTTGGCCCACAGTGGCTGTAGAGTTTTGTCACTTAGAGGTGAAGCTGCTCCTCTGAGGAAAGGAACTGAGTTCAGGGAAGAGCCACAGAGGATCAAGCTTTTGCTTCTGCAGTTTCCAAAGGAAGGAGTGCTGTGGATGTGAGGGCAGTCCCATCATGTTTTGCTGGCACCCTGGCCATTAACATCCTCTTTGGGAGTAGTCTGGCTACCAGTGGGAAAAATTGGTGGTAGTGATGCCTTCTGTCACTGCCTGCTTTGTGGGTGCCGATATCTCAGCATGTGTGGGCAGCAAAACAGCTGAGGAAAGGGTGGCCCCAGAATTGCTCCCTGCTCCATCAGAATTGTTCTTGGCCAGTGTGGCAGTACCAGCTTGTGAATGCCCATCTCTGGCTGCATGGGCACAGAGCTCAGCAATTCAGCCCCACTGGCCTCTCAGTCCTGACTGTCAGCTCTGGCTGTGTCTCTGTCTCATGGAGTTGCCCATGGTAATCACTCAGCCAGATTCTTATCCTGTCAAAAATGCACAGAAACTCTGTTAATTTGATAATTTGCTGAGGCAGGATCTTATGCAGTATCATCCATAACAGCTGTTTTCCTTAACTACCTTTGCTACACAGTGAATCCTCTGAGTGACAGCAGAGGATCTAAATTCTACCTTCCCTAGGAATGAAGGCGAGATTCAACCACCACTCATGTTAGATTCAGCAATAGCATTAATAGCAAGAACCAGAGGCTGTGGAAAAGGTCTTTACAACCAATTCAATCTTTCATTGAGGAAAATACTGGATTTTGGATTGGGACCAAATGCAAGTTTCAGAAGATAAATGATGAGTTGGTCGGGGGTACTGATGAAAGCCAGAGAAATATGCAGCTTGGATTTTCTCAAGCTGCTCAAAGGAAAGCAGGAAAAAAGAATTAATAAAAATGATTAGCATCTACTGTTATCTGTTAGCTGTTGTACTGTTAGCACAAGAAAGTATGTGAAAGATGTGACAAGGGGTGTTACCTGCCTTACACCAATGAAATAAAAACTATCCTCAATTCCACAATCTAATCTATAAAAGTATAGTTATTTCTTTAATAAAGAGCTTTTACTTTCTTCTACCTCCAAAGGAAGTGCTGTTGCTATATTTCTCCACCACTCCTAACCTTTATAGCAACAAGTTGGTCCAAACATCACACCTCCAGGATAATCCTCAGCCTCCGAACTTCATTTGGCCTGCTTAAAATACAGATAATTCTTTGGCAGGTCTGGAAACTCCTGAGACTCAAGGAAAAAGATTGACATCTGCAATCTAGAACTGGAGGCAGACATAACTTGTGGAGAAGAAGCCTTTTCCTGTACAGGAAGGTTTACATGAACTTCTTCCTGAGTTACCTCTGATGCTGAGGCAGTCAGTAATAGTTGAATTTTTTTTCCAGGACTAAGCTCACTCTCCCTGCTAATGCTTCTGTGGAAGAGACACACAGCGACTTGCATGCTTCTGTGTTTGGGGCAGAAAACAAGATGCAGTGTGTGCTCTGTCCTCTCTGCCAAAGACAGGATGTCCTCAGATGCTTGGTAAACGAGGAAGACTTTCCCCTCTGGTCTGTGTGTGTGTGTGTCCCCCCAATATCTTAGCTCTAAACCCATCCATAGTTCACTGGAAACACTCAAACTCCCTATCCTCAGGGTTGGCCACTTGGCTGTATCTTCACTAACACCCTAAAAACAAAGTCCCACAGCCCTGTGGATCTCTTAAGCTGGAGCTTTTTTTCCCAGCATCTCTGCCATAGTCAGAATGATCCTAAGTACAACAGCATGGCATTGTAACAAATGATACAATTATTCCTGCATACAGCACTGTTTCAAAGACACTTATTTTATCAGCCAGTGCATTTCAGTGGAATTTATTTCCTCTCTCCTGTTATTCATTTACTTCTCTTCTTTTCATTGCAATAAAACTGAACAGAGGGGTGAAAATCTGGATGTCAGTTCAAAACGTCGTAGTAAATAATTCACAGTAATATAAGGAGAAATTGCTTGCTTTTCGTTGACTGCAGCTCATGCAGGGCATTGCATGCAGCTCAGCCCAGATAAACACGGTCAGCTGTGGATACACAAATTTAAAGTCTGTCTGTCTTGTGCTTCAGCCTTGTCTGATTTTATATAGGCTGTATGAAAGCTGGTGCCAGGTATTGACCCAGAGTGGGGTAATGGATGGTACAGCTGGCTGAGGTAAACAGAGAATGGTTATTGTTTTCATCTCAGCTCCTTCCCTCCTTCACTGCTTTTGTCACCGAGAAAAGGCAAGGAAGTGAAATGTGAAACCTTCCAGTTGCCTACATCTGTTACCCAATTTATTTTTTTAAGATGGAGGAAATGGGAGGGTAGAAAAGGTGAAGGTAGGAGTATGTCTTAATCTAGGGGAGAGCCAGGTCAGCAAATAAATGCAATCATTCTTAGAGTTAGTGCGATCTGTGTCAGTCACGTTAACCTGTTGAACCAATGACCCGTGGCTCCCACCTGGAGTGTGGCTGCAAATAATAGTTCTAACAAAGCCCAGGGCTGCAGATGGAGCACAGACTTCCCGAGGCTGCAAACAGTGATTGAAAACTATCTAGATTAAGGAAACTAAAACCAACCAAACAAATGGGAAAACAGCAACCTCTGTCTCTGCAGCTGGTTGACAGAACATTAATTCAGATACCATTCAAAACATTAATCTTTACTTAGTTTCCAAATCTGAGCTGAAGCAGACAGGCTACAGTTACTGGATTTAGTATCGTAACTTGTGCTTTTTAAAGTTGCTTTTAATCTTTTTGATCCATGACAGGGTAAAATATCAGAGTGTGTCTGGCAGCTCTGCAATGGATAATCTGGCTTGTAAATGCATTGCTTTGGATTACCAAATGGGAGGGAGAAAAAGGTGTTGGTTAAAAGGGGCTCAGGCTATTAATTACATTTAATAGAATGGTCTGCTGAATACAGTGGTTGCACAATGATGAGAGGAGGAGGAGTTGGGAAGAATCTTTCTGCTTCTATTCCACACTTCTTAAATGATAAGGCACAAATTTTCATGCTGCACCACGCACGCTCTGTGTTTATTACTGTTTAGATAGCTGGCCTTGCAAAGTATGCCTCATGAGTGTGGATGATTTGAAAATAATGACTCTGACATTATATGACCTTTAGGTACATTGACAGCCACTCCAGACTACATGCTATTTTCTGAATAAAAGAATTTTTAATTTTTCTGGGGAGGTCTGTTGATGGAAGAGCTTTAAATGTAATAAAGCAGAGTTATAGTCAAAGCGACAGCCCTTGTTGTGGAACACGCTGTAGGGGACATGAGATGATTTCTGTGCATGATAATACATTTGCTTTTAAATGCCATCACTAGATTGATAATTATAGAATTCTTCATATTGTGCCTGGCAGGGTGTCAAGGCTGAATCTTCCCAGTCTGTAAGAGTGGGAGATAGAAAAGTGTGCTGTGAACCAGAAGAGTTCAGTCACTTTATGCATGAAGCTGCTAAATGTATTTAAGATGTTACAGGAGAGAGACTTTAGTCTTTTCAGAATCAGCATAAACCTGATGCTTTATTCACACTGAGTATTGGCAGGAAGGCTTTTAGGAGCTTCTTGTTGCCAACAGTCCATCAGTGACCACCACACAAAGCCTGTCCTCCCAGTTTGGTTATTTGTGGCAATTGGTTTAATTTCTTGTGTCCAACTTCTACCTCTGCCATTTTTAGAGCACAGGAATACTTGAAAATTCTTTCTTTTCTCTTTCAAAATAGAGAAATAACAGTGAGGAGGACAGAGATCTGGAGCATCATGATGTGTAGGATTCAGTGCCTATAGCAGGCAGAGGATGAAAAAGAGAACAGACTCTGCTGGTTCTGTTCAACTACCAACTTCCTTAATCAACTTACTCTGAATAAAATAATAGGTGGAAATTTTAAGAACACCATGAGCTAGGGAGTGATAAATGAAACAACAAAAAAAATAAATAAAAGGGGGGGGCATGAATTCATAATTGGGTTTTGTGTACTGGGTACATGGAAAATCATGGTTGCAATTGTCCAGGCACAATCAATGTCATCAGCACAGCTCCCTTTGCTGATTGCAAACCCTCAGTGTGTTTCCTGCTGCGTACCACAGACAAATGTGGTTGAAGCCTTGTGAATTCTGCTGGTGAAGAATGGGATTTTTAAAGTGCCTTCATGATTAAATATGCCAGTGTTGACTCACAGTGAGATATCTGCTTTTAAGCAGGTAAAAAGGAAATTAATCAAAAATGAAAACCCTTTTTTGGGTGGACAAGCTGTCTGTGAATGCTTAGATAAATATGATGAATGGTTTCTGTAAGAAAAAAAGAGAGGAATGCTATTAAAGATATAAATATGTTTTATCTGGCCTCTTAAATACAGTATCTTGATATTCTTTCATTTCAGGATGTAATTTTTTTTTCTTAAAGAATTGTCCTGATTTTTAAAAGAGCTCTAAACACAAATCACAACTCAGAACTTCTTTATTCATCAAATAAAACATTTCCACATTTATCTAAAATTTTCTTTCTCATTCCCCACCCACAGTGCCTCAGATTGGGAACTGAACCAAAAATGCATTATTCATCCAGACCTTTTCAAAATTCCTTCTGTGGTCATCCAAAGACCCTGAAAAGGGCAGAGCACACTGTGAGGGTACACTGAGGATCTTCCTTCCCACTCTGGTGAGGAGATCGTGCTCACAATGTGAAAAGCCAGATGCCCATGTGGAAGTCACTGGCTGCAGGGACAATGGGAGCCAGAAGGAGAAGGTGGCAGCTTGCCTGAGCCTTCTCTAGAGCTGTTGAGAGCCAGCAGCGAAAAAATATGTGTGCACCCCTCATTCTTTAGCAGTAAAAAAAATAAAACCCAACCCAAGAGGAATCAAGGCAGGGGTACTGAAAATTTAGCAGAAAAAGAATGAGAAGGATCATAAAGAGAGAAAAAAGGCACATCTTCCACACTGAACAGAAGTAAGAAAACAGAAAGCAGCCTGTTGGCACTGTGTGCCAGGGCACAAAGCTGGGGACATGAATGGCAGGGAGCTGTATCTGCAGCAGGAGGTGTCAAGTTGGACAGTGGAGAATCTGCCTGACTGACACAGACCTGATTCACCAAGATATGAGTATTGGTCTAACACCAATACTCAGCTGTGACGGACCAAAGACTCTCTAACAATTTAAAGTTAGAAAGTGAATGTTTATTCAGCGCTGGGCAGCAGCGTGGGGTAGCCCCCT